CTCAGGTCCTGATCACGCCAGTCCTACTCATTTCAGCCTGTGCTCCAGGGCTCTGCTCTCAATGCCTTTCACCTACTTTGTTAACAGCACCCTCCTGATCCTTTGAGGAGCTCTTTCCTTAACCCAGATTTCCTACAGGGAAATCTCACTCTGACATCAATCCCACATCCTAGCTGCTCATTATGATGGGTTCCAGACTGGGCAGGAGACCAAGACAGGCCAGAATCTTCCCCACACACCCACTTTGAGAGGCCAGGGGGCTGTGCTGCAAGGATCGGTAGCCCTAGAGCTGATAAGAAAGACCTACAGGATGACAGTCAAGTAAAAAAAGAAAAAAGAAAGACCTTCACATATGCCACACACTGGATCCAGCTACACCTGATACCATTCCTCCCCAGAGAAATTTCCATTTCCATGGGCTCATAAATGTTCAGGCCCTCCTCTTTTCTGTGATTAGTTTTCCAGGTAGTTAATGTTGCCTTTCTGTTGTTACAATCTCTCGAACATCCCCAGAAGCATGGTGTCAGAGGGGACAAATCCTGAAGTACAGGCTTTGCTGAGCTAAGGTCAGGGAGGAGTAATGAGGATGGTGCCATATCTTGGCTGATACACAGTCTCAACAGCTTGGGCTGAAATACAGCCTCTGTGATCTGGAAGTGAGACGTGGAGCCAGGAGGCTGGCCTTCGGGCATCTCGGGACAGCAGCCTCTAGTGAGTATTTCCTAGAATAACAGAAATGCCAACAAAAGCCAGACCTGCAAGCTTCACTCCTGACAACCCCTCCAAATGAGGCTGTGCCTAATTGTGTACAACAATCCCTGATGGTTGAGAATCAGGTCAGATCATTGGAGCAGAAGTTTTCTGCCCCTGCTAAAGGTAGTGTCGAGGCAGGCAGGGAGACTAGACTGAGCCCCAGAAAGGCTGACCACCTCCTCAAGCTCTCACAAGGACCTGCTGTGGCTCTCACTGTGCAGCTTGAGGACAAGGAGCTGCCTACCCTATCCACTGCCCACAGCTTCCCTTATAAACCGACTAGGGCCTAAGAGGAGACCCAAGGCCTACTGTTGAGGGCAGACTCCTCAGGGCCTGGATCTAGATCCAAGGACTTTGAGAAACCAGTATTAGCTTTGGTTCCTCATCCATGTATCGAAATGCCAATGACTAGGGGAGCTATAAAGCCAGACAGGCCTCAAAATTGCAAACCAGTCTTCCAACAAACAGCACATCTCCCAATCACCTCAAGTGTCTCACTCCCACTAGGAGAGAACCTGCCTACCAGCAGCAGTCCAGAGGAGACTGTTTATAAATGTCCATTTTAGGTGGTCAGAAGGCCAAGAGCCAAGGCAGGGCTTCCCATGGAACAGGGATGGAGGCAGTCTTAGGGCTGAAAGAACACAGTCATATAGAAAACCCACTGTCTTGACCCAGCAGGCATAGCAATAAGCTACAGACCAGCCACCACCAGTGTGTTTCCCTTTCCTTCTTTTTCCAAATAGCAGACTTCACTGATGCTAAGACCTATCCGTTGATTCAGACTGGACAAGAATGAGTGGCATCAAGGAGCTTGTATTGTACCAGTTCTGCTAATAGCTACTGCATGTTGCACCCATCCTTGAGGGAGCAGACTTGGCTTCCTCCTTGCTGCTCTCTCCCTGCTGCTCTCTCCAGGGTAAGATCCAGCTGTTCATCTTAGTGTCATCAGTAGTGCCTGTTACAAATGGCACTTTCTCTATGGGAGCTGGACTAGGGACCTCAAGAAACAAAAGAGGTCAAATCTCTGGAGGAAGGAACTCACTAACCTGACTGGAGAGATTTTACATACTGTACCAAGAAAGACCCAAGAGAGCTTGGAGGAAACACACTGTGAGCTCAAAGAGAAGGGGAGCTCCTGGTGCGGGGGGGTGCCTAAACTGTATCAGAGAATCTTGCAGCTCATCAATGTGCAGAACAAAGAAAAAAGCTGATGAGGGGCTGGGAAGGTGGCTCAGTGATTTTAAAGAGCTTGCCTTGCATGCATGAGGCCCTGGGTTCAATTCCCCAGCACCACATAAGCAGAAAAAGCCAGAAGTGGTACTGTGGCTCAAGTGGTAGAGTGCTAGCCTTGAGCTGAAGAGCTGAGGGACAGCGCCCAGGTCCAGAGTTTGGGTCCTATGACCCACAAAAAAAAAAAAAAAAGCTGAGACAAGACAATGGCTCAAGGCAAATCAAAGGGACAGAACTTCAAAGATGATGGAGGGCACCAAGGTAGATCTTGTGTGGTGAACACTTGGGGCTCCAAGAGGGAGAGGTAACGAAATAATCAGCACAGCCAGAAACTGATGACTCATGCCTATAATCATAGCTGGTAGTGCCTAGGCCCTGAGGTCAAGCCCTAGGACTAGCACCAATTAAAGAAGAAGAAAAATAAAAGAAATAATCATCACAGGAAGATTAAATACATTGTGGAGGAAGAGGGGAGGACAAAGTAAGGGAGGTAGAGAAATGGAAAGAGAAAGAATATAGGCATTTTATGGTTAATGTACATATGTGAAAATGAAGCCAGAGAACTTAAGGGTGTAAGTGGGGTTGGGAAAGACAGGGGAGAATGATGAAATGGGTGATAATGATTAAGATGCATTGTACTTACAAGCTGATTTGTACAACTACTTTTATACAACTACTAAAAGATGATGATGATGATGATGATGATGATGATAATAAATGATCAGCCATTTTCAGGGGATTTAAAGTTCAGTGGAAGACAGACAGTCAGGAGCACTTGGAACCAAATGCATAGGGATCTTCCAAGGGCTTCACAAAAGTGGGTACTAGGGCAGACAGACCTTCCTAGATAGTCCATGAAACCAAAGTATTCTTGACTATTTTAATAGAGTAAATGGAAGATGTTCCTGGCCCAAACATACCAGGATGGTAGTGTTCCATATAGAGTATGTACCTGTCACCTGCACCTGAACAGTCTAGGGACTCAAGTGCGAGTATGAGGGTATACTTGACCTGGCAGGAGGGCTTCCAAGATGCTATTATTCTGGGAACCCAGGGGCCTCCTGCTGCCACCATCCTCATCTTCTCACAGGAAACCAGGTCACCCATCGCTATTTCCTTCCAGGTGTGGCTGTCACCCATTGCATGGAGAGACCCACCAGACTCCCAACCCAGATGAGTCAACATCGTGCACACCCAGGCAGCCTTGTGCATGGTCTCAAGCACACACAGGGTCAGGCAAACCTCGGCATGCCAAGCAGCAGGTTGTGGTCACTGCAACAGGACATGAGGACAGGCAGAGGGGAGGCAGGCAAGGGGCTACATGCAGTCACCAGGGGATACTGAGGGATGGGGAGCTAGCAGAGCCCACACCCAACAGCCCAAGCCTGCAATGGCAGCTCCTTACCTCCCTGGCAGGACCTCTGACCACCAGGACTGTGTTCCCCCAAGAAGCTGGAAGCATGCTGGAGAGAGTAGAGAGCAGGAGACAGGGAGCAATATATACTGAGCTAGGATGACAGAAGAAAGGACTGAAAGGACACCCAAGGGAGGGTTTTTGGTCCCAAGAGATCCAAAACAACACAAATGTCAAAGGAAGATCATCCCCAAGACTGGCCCCATTCCTGAGGCCCAGAGAGGGGGATGAGTGAGCAAAGGAGAGGAGTGCATCCCACCCAGAATGGACCCTTCCAATAGGCAGCTGCCTTCCCACAAGCTGCCTCTACATCTTCTCAGAGTAGCCAAAGTAGCACATTTCCTTGGATGGTGTAAATTCAATGAGGAAAAGACTCAGGGACCCTGGGTGGACAACCAACCCTCAGGAAAGGCCCTCTTGTTAATCAAGGAGGATGTACCTTCCACATATGTCACAGTCACCGGAACCCAGAACAGACAGACAAATCATGTGTGTTAGGATAGGAAGGGGGTTCACGGATTCCAAGACCAGGGTCAGAGACTGGAGCTTCTTGGATTTACCATGCATCTAGGTAACTTTGGGCAAGGTACCTCTTGTCTCTGGGCCTCATTTTCCCCATCTATAAGATGGAGAAAGGATAGAGACACTCAAGAGAGGATGTTTGTTTCAAGATATTCATGTCCCTATGTTCCTACTAATACAGAGAAAATGTTCCTATCTATAAGAGAGGCTAACACATACCCTACTGATGCCAGGCACCAAATCCCCACAGACCATAGGCAGATCTTTTATTAGACTTTTCTCTGGGGGTTGTAATAGGGAGATAATCAAATATCCAATGTTCCTGGCAACAGCAAAGGCAGAGGGTGCTCCCAGGATCTCACTGCTACCAGTGCCCACCTGACAACTTATGGGTCCAGGGAAGAAGGAGCCTGGAAGCTCCAAGTTTGGGGCAGGTCTTTTACTAACATTTAGCACATTCGGGGCCAATTCCGTGGCACCATTTCCCTGACTGGACCAATCAGTCTCTCATAACATTCTTCTATCATTGATCCTCTGTGTCCATCAGGTCCCTCCCTCCAGAGTGTCCTTGACCCTGGGAAGGCTGGGAGCTACTCCAGGGCAGAAGTGCTTATCCCTGTAACCCAGGAGCCCCATGCTGAGCTGTTCACAGTGGGTGCCCAATACCTAAAGAGTAACAGACTCCTGGGCAGCAGTGAGTACGATGTGCAACTGGATAACAAGATGGCGCTTGAGCCTATTTCAACATGTTTAAGCAACCTGCTGACTCCTTCTGGTCATGGGAACCCTGAGAGGGTAGGTATAATCTTGCCTCTTGAATAAGTAAACTGAGCCTAAGCAAAGTATAAGAGGCTATTTGCCCAAGGGTACACAGCTAGGTAACTCATCCACAGAGACAGGGTGACCAGGCTACCATGAAGAGGTGCCAACACAGGATACCAGTGCCTGGTATTACCCAGGTTAAGTGTCTGAACACTACTGTGTCCACTGCCCAGAGCTGTTGCCTGCTCCAGGTGCTTGGGGGATAGAGTGGAAGGACTGGGCAAAGGTAATAGGGAATCCAAGATGGTACTTATGCTACCTTTGATGACAAATGCCTCTGCCAGCAGTCGCATCTGATACAGAGGCTTGTTCTCCACGGACATGTCATCAATCCCAGCCCGGGCATACATGCTGATGGCATCTCGGTAGGAGCCCTCCACATAATGTAGCTTTCCCAGGATCAGCATGGCCTCACACATGTACCGTGGCTGAAAGGACAAGGATATGTTAGCAGGCTCCTGCTCCCAAAGCTTCTACCCCAGACCATCAGGTTCCCTGAGATGAAGACCCAGCTTGCACTGAGCCATAAGCCATTAACGCCTCTCATCTTCCTGGAAGCCTTCCCTGATTCCACACTCCCCTCACCATACCTGGGTCCATGGCCCATTTTGTGACTCTTAAGGAGATGTTTATAAAGTCCCTCATTTCTTCATTGTGCGTGGGAGCCTAGACTCTTACACCACTACAAAGCAAGCCGGGTCTTTTTTCCTCTTCTACAGCCCCAAAGACTTTAGCATAGGCTAAAGGAACTCCACACTTATTCTGAACACAAATGGGGAGGCAAGAGTGTATCAAGTTTTATGGAATCTGAAGCTTATAATTAAGAGGGGTATATTTATGCGTGCACACACATAGGCACACATTCACAGCCCAACCAGGACCTGTAGAGGAAGAAGAGTTACATCAACAGAAGGGATAGGAGACAAGAGAGGACCTGCTGGGTCACTGTCCTCATCTTATCAGAAGTAGGGCACAGTACAGACAGGGCTTTTGGCTTTGAATTCTGTCCAAAAGTGCCTGAATTCAAACTTGCTTTTTTTCCCCTTCTTACTCAAGTGCTACTTGTACCTAACTCTCCACACAACCTGCCTGACTCTTCCTGGTCATGAGAACCCCAAGAGGGTAGGTACAACTTATCTTACAAATAAGTAAACAGAGCCCAAGGCCTTGTCAGGATCTCCTCAGGAGATCTGGTCAATACTGATCACCTCACCCTAGCATGCCTAGCATGGACTATATTCACAGCCAGAGCGACCAGGGCTGCTGACTAAGGGAGTCTGTGCTGGCCCTGAACTGGAGCAATCCACCCCTGAGCTCTGGTCTTAGTATGGATCCTGTCTACTCTGGAGGGCTTCCACCTCTTGAGACCATTCACTGCAGCCCATTTCCATTCCTGTGCTCAGCTGGCCCACTATGCTTTAAGCTAGGCTCTGGCCACTGCTCCTGCTACAAAGCTACCAATCAGTTCTACAAAGTTCCCTACAGATACAGATCTGACCTCAATCATGGCAGGAAGACACTCTCAATCTCCTCCCAGGAGAGGTAAGAGTCAGGGGTACCTGTGACCCCAGATTCTACTACTCTCCACCATGCACAGCCTTCTAAGAAGGTAATTAAAAAAAAAAAAAAAACAGGACAAAGCAAAACTAAGCCCCGGGGAAGCCAATTTCTCCTTTCACACTGGTCTCTGTTTTTCATAAATGAATAACCTTCTGTTGCCTTTGCTTACTCTGGTCCCCATTTAGCCTTCACAGATCCTCCTCCATCCCTTGAGCCTTGTTCAGGCCTTCCTCCTCCTGGAAGTCTGCCTGACCAAAGGAGCTCCTTTCTGCTGAGCTCCTACAATGTCTCCACGAGTTCATCCACTCCACCCCTGCCCATCTGTCCTCCCTTTGACTACTGATCAACTGAATTTACCAAAAGTATTGCTAATTCCCCCACAGAGGCCTCCCACTTCCTGGGCCAGAGCCACAGAGATGACACATTTTCAGCCCACAGTGCTTCCAAACTAGATGATGAGTCTTCCATTCTGTGCACTGGTCTCAAGCTGATGGGCTCATTTCCTCCCTGCCCAGACTTTATTCCTCATTGGTGAGAGGAGGACAAGAACCTCCACTCCTCACTTCCCATCCTAGCAATACTAAGGGCATTAAGAGGGCAAAGTCCAGAAGATAGCTTTCAACTGTTCCTGAGGAAGGAGCTAAATAAATACAGGGTATGAGTAATTATTATAAGCACCTTCTTGTACAGTACGTGGGGAGGGGAAAGGATACAAGGCTCAGAGGACACATTCCAGGCCACAGTGAAGGGATGTGGCTAGTGATGGCTCCTGTTTATAACAGAGCTTCCACCAAGCTGGTGAAAAATTAAGAACAACATAGTAAATATTTTGTAAACCTAAATTTGTACTATTTTTAAATCTCCTCTGAAAGTTGTCTTTGTTGTCTCTTTCTTCTTCTTTTTGGTGCCAGTCCTAGGGTCTGAACTCAGGGCCTGAACACTATCCCTGAGCTTTCTTGCTCAAGATTAGAACTCTATCACTGAGTCATGGCTCTGCTTAGTCTTTTTGGTAGTTAATTAGAGATAAGAGTCACACAAACTTTTCTGCCTAAGCTGGCTTTAAACTTTAATCCTCAGAATCCTCATAGTAGTTAGGATTACAGGCAACAGCTAAGGGTACAGCAACTGTATCCTTGGTAATGGTACAGTTTCACTGTTGGTTTTTACTTTTGTTTTTAATGCCCTTACTTGGTAATATTAAAAGTCAGCTAGGAAGCTGGGCGCTGGTGGCTCACGCCTGTAATCCTAGCTACTCAGGAGGCTGAGATCTGAGGATCTCAGTTCAAAACCAGCCTGGGCAGGAAACTCTGTGAGACTCTTATCTCCAATAAACCACTAGAAAATCAGAAGTGGTGCTGTGGTTCAAGTGGTAGAGCGCTCGCCTTGAGCTGAAGAGCGCAAGGACAGTGCCCAAGACCAGAATTCAAGCCCCACAACCAAAAAAAAAAAAAAAAAAGTCAGTTACCTCCATAGGAAGACTGTGGGATTCTGAATTTGCAATGTTTTTGGTCTGTCAATCCAAGTCAGGGAACCACAAACCCCAACACAGTACAGAAATGCTCTATAGAAAATTGCTCAGCAGGCCTGGGAATGTGGCTTTGTGGTAGAATGTTTACCTAGCATGCATAAAGCCCTGGGTTCAATTCCTCAGTGCCTATATATAAACAGAAAAAGCCAGAAGTGGTGCTGTGGCCTTGAGCAAAAAGAAGCTTGGAGATAATGCCCAGGCCCTGAGTTCAAGCCCCAGGACTAGCAAAAAAAAGAAAAAGAAAAAAAGAAAAGGAAAGGGCTGGGAATGTGGCTTAGTGGTAGAGTGCTTGCCTTGCATGCCTGAAGCCCTGGGTTCAATTCCTCAGAACCACATAAATAGAAAAAGCTGCAAGTGACATTGTGGCTCAAGTGGTAGAGCACCAGCCTTGAGCAAAAGAAGTTCAAGGACAGTGCCCAAGGCCCTAGTTCAAGCCCCAGGACTGGTGAAAGAAAGAAAGAAAGAAAGAAAGAAAGAAAGAAAGAAAGAAAGAAAGAAAGAAAGAAAGGAAGGAAGGAAGGAAGGAAGTAAGGAAGGAAGGAAGGAAGAAAGAAAGAAAGAAAGAAAGAAAGAAAGAAAGAAAGAGTTGCTCAGCTGGGGTGGATAGGGGTGTTCCCCTACTGTGTGGCTCCTTTGCCACCTATGCTCTTTGTTTCTCACTGATCTATCGACTTAAAGGAAGAATGACCTAACAGAGATCCCTGGTAGGGGAAAGAGATAAGAAAACATTTCATCATAAGGTGAGACACGATAAGGAGTGCTAGCATATCATAAATAAATCTAAGTTTCTTGATCATTATTTTATTTCCATTTCAGTACTTTGGGTGGGGGTGGGGGTGTCAGCACCAAGAAGTGGCAGAGACCACTAGAGCTTGAAATACCAAGACAGATGGGCCTGGATTCAATTTTACACCTGCTAGTGTGTCCTTGGCTAAGTAAGTGATCATCTCTTAGGTCTCTGAAATGGGGCTAAGTTGCAAAAGGTGACTGAGAGGCCTCAGTGGGCTGCTGCATTGGCTGGGGCACGGTGGATAACTACCAAGTTCGGCATTTTAGGACCACCTCTCCTTTCCATTCATGAGAGTTACTTGGAATACAGGGGACTCCAGCTGAGATTGCATCTGCTGCCAAAAGGGCACCCAGCTAAGAGAGAAAGACCTCAATTTGCTTCTAACATTTTATTTTTGCCCAATCAGCACCAAGCTTTTGGCTTTGGCCTGGATAGCAATATCTCCACGCTACTTGTGCCTCTATATGTCTGTTAAATAAAACATAGTAAAACTTGTATTAATGAGTGGGATTTGGCAAACAAAATGGTTTGCACATCAACAGCTGCAGAATCTATTCACATTCAGTTGTTTTTGTGAGTTTGTCTTTGGCAGTGCTGAGGTTTGAACTCATGGCCCTGTGCTCGCTTGCTTGTCTGGTGCTCTACTACCTGACCCATACCTCCAGCCTATTATTCACTACAAATGAGGCTCAAGCAGAGAGAGTTCCATCTGAAAGCTCTCACCAAAAAGAAGCACCTTGTCAAATATGTCTTAGGGCTCTATGGAAAGCTCTGCTGAAGGATGTACAAAAGCAAAAAAAGGCAAGTGGACACATCACATCCTCTCCTCTGAGGACAGGAGTGAGGCATTCCAGGATAACAGGCATTTCAGGATCTCTATCAGTTAAATTACTTGTCCATTGGTTACATTTTCAAATAAGCCTGCATCATATTTATTTTAAGAACACATAAAAATATTTAATGGAGTCTACCAGAAAGACTCAAATAAGTCAGGTACCAGTGGCTCATGCCTATAATCCTAGCTACTCAGGAGGCTGAGATCCAAGGATTATGGTCCACAGCCAGAGTGGCAGGAAAGTCCATAGACTCTTACTCCAATTAATCACCAAAAAAAGCTGAAAGTGGGCCTGCAGCCCAAGTGCTAGCCTTGAACAAAAACAAAACAAAAAAACTAAGGGACAGCAGCTAGGCCCTGAGTTCAAGCCCCAGGACCAGTACCAAAAATAAAATATTAATAAATAAATATTTTTGCAGGAGAAGCTTAGAACCTATCATAGGAGTGAACTTTTCTGATGGACACATCAGGAACTAGATGGACCCAGAGGCCAAGAAACAGGCTTAATATCAAGCAGCTATTTTAACTTAACACAGACCTCCCAATGCTAAAACAATTCCCCATCAAAGAAGCAGAAACCTCATGCTGCGAGCATATATGCTCCCTTCTTCCTTGCACTGCCCCCTCCACTGCTCTGTATGTCAGTCCCCAGCCTCTGGCCTCATATTCCTTCACAGCCCTGTTATTCTCTTCACCATTCCCCTTTGCTTTTGCTAAACTCAGCAACCTTAAGGAGATTCTTATTAGAGGATTCTTCAATTACATATTGCCTCCTCTACATGGAATGCTCAGCACTACCTTTATATGTTCAGACTCTGCCTCTTCTTCCAGCACTCAGAATGGCCCAATTCTAATACTACCAGTACTCCTGGTCTGCTCTCTAGCTCACTCCAGGGAAATGCCCCTTCAGACTGACCTCCTCAGACACTACTACATGCACAGTCCATCTGGGACTTCCCAACAAACCTGCAACTTCCTGGAGGGCAGGTTTGTCCTGATTGCCCTCAGCAAGCATAGCATGATGTCTGGTACAAAACAGGCCATAAAAACATGTTTAAAGGAGTAAATACATGGGAATATCTCCTGAAAAATACCTGCCTGAGTCTCTAATGACATACAAGTACTGCTAGTATAGAAGGGGATATACTTTAATCCAGAAAAGTAGTTTCAACTCTGATACACGAATCACTGGGAGATAATGCTGAGACACAGGGTCTGATTTGCATTTTGTACATCTTACCAACTCCCCAATGATGCCCACACTTTTAACGAGTGGATTATACTTAGTGCAACACAGTTCTAGAGTAAACTGTGAATATTTTACTTCATATCTTGGAGACATCAGGTGCTTAACAAATGCACATGAATTTACACTACTTGCTCTACTCTAGAGTTTTTGTTTCTACTCTGCATGTTTGCCTGCTTCCAGCTAGATCATGGGCTTCTTGAGTTCTTACTTCTCTCTAAGAACCCCCCAAAGGAGTCCAAAAAAAACACGTTCACGTTAGGTCAACCAAATGCTGTTAAATTAAAAAAATTCCTATGGTCACAAGCACAAGATCAAGACACATTTAAAAAGATAAAAACATGGGCTGAGAAGGTGGCCCAGTGGTAGAGTGCTTGCCTTGCATGCATGAGGCCCTGGGTTCGATTCCTCAGCACCACATAAGCAGAAAAAGCCGGAAGTGGAGCGCTAGCCTTGAGCTGAAGAGCTGAGGGACAGCACTCAGGCCCAGAGGTCAGGCCCCACAACTGGCAAAATAAATAAATAAATAAAATAAAAAGATAAAAACAGGTGAAATTAATTTTAATAAAATTTCCTTTAACCTAATACAAGCAGAGGATTATCATGTGAGTATATAATCAATATAAAGTTAGTGCCCTTTTTGATGTTGATTTTGTTTTTGTAGTCCTGGACTAAACCTAGAACCCTTTACTTGGTAGACAGGTGTTCTACCACTTGGCCACACTTCAGCCCTTTTTGCTCTAGTTACTTTTGAGATAGAGTTTATTGCCCAGCAACATGCCTGGATCTTGATCATCTTATATTAGTTAGGATGACAGGCATATATCACCATGCCCAGTTTTTTCTGTTGAGATAGTGCCTCATGAACTTATTGCCCAGGATAGCTTGAAACCACAATTCTCTGGATCTCATCCTCCTACACAACTGATATGGCAGGCATGCATAACCAAGCCCAGTTGTTGCTTGAGATAAAGTCTTGCAAAACTCTTTGCTCAGGCTGATTTTGAACCATGGTTTCCTTTGATCTCCACCTCCTCAGTAGCTAGGATTACAGGTATGAGCCACAAAAATTGGCTTAAAAAAAAAACAAAAACAGGGTCTCACTCCTAACTCTGCACAAGGGCTGGCTTTGAGTTCACAATTTCCTTCTTCTGATTCTTTTTTTTTGGTCGGCCGTGGGGCTTGAACTCTGGGCCTGGGAGCTGTCCTTCAGCTCTTCAGCTCAAGGAGAGCGCCCTACCACTTGAGCTACAGCGCCACTTCCGGTTTTCTGGTGGTTTTATTGGAGATAGGAGTCTCACGGTCTCTCCTGCCCGGGCTGGCTTTGAACCTCGATCCTCAGATCTCAGCCTCCTGAGTAGCTAGGATTACAGGCATGAGCCACCAGCGCCCGGCCTTCTTCTGATTCTTGAGAGCTGGTATTAAAGGCATACACCACCACATGTGCTAAATCAGTGCTTTTTTTTATATTCCTTGTTTGTATGTCTTTGGAATCCAAGGCATATTTTAGATTTACACTCATGTCTTTCACTGTAGCTGCTGGAAAGCCACACGTGGCTGGTGGATCCTGTACTAGACACAATAGAGCTAATCCCAAGAGCCTTCTTCTCAAAGAACAAATGACTCAGGGAGGACTGCGCGCTAATATGAGACAAGAGAAAGAAGAGAGGAGGCCTCAGGTTTGTGGCTGACAACTCACCGGCAGCTTCCCATGGTTAAGGATACTGCTCAAATAATTTTTGGCTTCATTTATCCTATGTTCATTCTTCTCCAGCAAAGGGATGGAGTCTTTTATTTTGGCATGGTTCTCCTTCAAATACTGTTCCAGGAGGGCCTCTGCCAGCAGCAATTTCCCAAAGTCATCTGAAAAACATGGCAGGGATTAAAGTGAGTGGTAATGGTCCTAACTCCCTTGAACAAAGCAGGTGGAGAGATGGTACACACTTGTGGACCCTTACTCCTACCCCTGCACACAGCAACATGAACAGAGGCCTGAAAAAAATAAAGAAAACATTTTCATAAACTGAAATACTCTTTAATTCTAGCTACTCAGGAGGCTAAGATCTGAGAACTGGGGTTCAGCCTGGGCAGGAAAGCCCATGAGGCTCTAATCTCCAACTAACCAGCAAAAGCTGAAAATGGAGCTATGGCTCACAGGCCAGCCTTGAGAGAAAAAGCTAAGGTACAGTGTCCAGGCCTTGAGTTCAAGCCCAGTACCAGCACCAAAACAATGGACAGTCTACCATAGTCACAACAGGAATTACCCCTTTGGGACTACTTTCTGTTGTGGCTCAGTAGATGAAAAGATAAGAGTTCTCAGGATAAATTCCTAGAATTTCAGAATTTAAAATGAAGGACAAAATCATAATTATACCTTGCTGTGGGTAATAAGTTCTTAAACCAAAAAGACATTTTCTTCTCAAACAATTGAAGAGGAAAGTGATATGGGTGGCTAAATAATGCATTTTCACATGCTAGTGGTTTCTATGTAATCATAACTGGTTGCTTTATTTAAAAGTATTTTAGTGCTAGGTGCTGGTGGCTCACACCTGTAATCCTAACTACCCATGAGGCTGAGATCTGAGGATTGCGGTTCAAAGCCAGCCCGTGAAACTCTTATCTCCAATAAACCACTAGAAAACCAGAAGTGGCACTGTAGCTCAAGTGGTAGAGCGCTAGCCTTGAGCTGAAGAGCTGAGGGACAGTTCTCAGGCCCAGAGTTCAAGCCCCATGACCGACAAAAGGCTCAAGGATAACTTGCAGCCAGAACAAAGAGGAAAAGTGGAAAATAGGAGGTAGGATACACATTTACCTGTGCAGTAAGACAAATCTTTAAACTTGCTTAGTACTTGCACTTTTTCTCTTGTATTCAGCTCATATGCATACCTTACCACCTAACAGTGGCTTTGTACTATTTAGTTTGGGGTCTCCCCTACCACACTGAACTCCAGTCTTGTGGCCCACTACCTGCAGCAGAGGTGATCTGGTATGGGAGTTAGGTGCTCTGTGTGCAGGGTTTGAGGTCAAGAGTAGTTTCATAACAGCCTCAGGTGGTTGTACTCATTGCCTCATCCCAGCACACAGGGTGAGGCCCAGCCTATCACCCAAGGCAAGAGCCAAATAAATACCTGTCCAGTGAATCAGATCCTCTCAACTCTCCAGAGAAGAAACCATCAGGATCCAATAATCTATCTAAGAATGTCTGCTCAGCCCACCTTTTCACAGTAGTTTTTTGGCTGTGAGGACAGTGTCCTCAGATCTACCCAGGGGAGCCACTCCAACTCTCTCGTGATCACTGTTGTTTGCCCCAGTCTCCAGGCCACCAAGTCTAAAATGGTATGTGTAGAATCTCTTGTGGAGAGCAGTCCTAAGTCCAGAATTCCAGCTGTGCGGTTTCAGGAGAGTTTGCACTGGGAGTGTTATTAGATACTTTGCTGCCTTTTTTTTTTTTCCTGGTGGAGGTCCCAGGGCTTGAACTCAGGGCCTGGGCACTGTTCTTGAGCCTTGAGTCTCATGGGTTTTCCTGTCTGGACTGGCTTTGAACTGTGATCCTCCGATTGCAGCCTCCTGAATAGCCAGGATTATATTAGCCACTGAGGCCCAGCTATATCTCATGACTTAAAAAAAAAATTTTTGTCAGCTGTGAGATTTGAACTCAGGGCCTAGGTGCTGTTCCTGAGCTTTTATGCTAAAGGCTAGTACTCTACCAATTTCAGCCACAGTTCTACTTCTGGTTTTCTGATGGTAACTGGAGATAAGAGTCTTTTTTTTTTTAATTTTATTTGTGAAGATATTGTAAAGAGGGGTTACAATTACATGGGCAGGATAATGCGTACATTTCTTACCAAGCATTGCAGCCTCCTCCTTTTGTTTACCCTTCACATCCCTTCCCAGCCTCCCCCCTCCCCCCCAATCCCAATCCTTCTCCTTCCTCCCCTCCCCCACCCCCCACCCCCCCCACCCCGCACCGACGTTGTAAAGCTCGTTTTGGACATGACAACTTGTACTTCTCATTGTTGCAATAGGTCCACCTGTATCTTTAAACAACTGGTTTTTCCCCATCTCCTCCTCAAGTTATACTGACATCAAATATAGTGAAAGCAGGGGTTATACTGTGGGGGAGGGACATACAAAGCAACAAAGAGATAATCCTATAAATGCGTTAGAAACACATGCATGAAAGAAAAAAACATTAAAATACATATCTAAGGGTTCATTTTCCTGACATCACATTATCTGACCTTTTCCGCTTGACTCATACATATACTAGATATTGCAAATAAGGGAAACCATGGGACCTATGTTTCTTTGGGCCTGGCTTACTTCACTTAATATAATTTTTTCCAAGTTTTTCCATTTCCTAACAAATGGGGCAATGTCATTCTTTCTGATGGCGGCATAGAATTCCATTGTGTATATATACCACATTTTCTTGATCCATTCATCTACTGAGGGGCATCTGGATTGGTTCCATATCTTAGCTATGGTAAATAATGCTGCAATAAACATTGTTGTGCTGGTAGCTTTAGTGGGTAAATGCCCAAAAGTGGGATTGCTGGGTCATAGGGGAGTTCTATGTGAAGTCTTTTGAGGAACCTCCATACTGCTTTCCAAAGTGGTTGAACAAGTTTACATTCCCACCAACAATGAAGTAATTCAACGCAATACCTATCAAAATTCCAACCTCATTCTTCAAGGAAATAGAAGAGGCAATCCAAAAATTCATATGGAACAATAAAAGACCCCGAATAGCAAAAACGCTCCTCAACGGAAAGAACACTGCTGGAGGAATATCAATACCAAATTTCAAACTCTACTATAAAGCCATAGTAATCAAAACAGCTTGGTATTGGCATAAGAACAGACCTCAGGACCAATGGAATAGAATTGAAAACCCAGAAATGAACCTACAGACCTATAGCCATCTAATCTTCGATAAGGGAGCTAAAACAATAGAATGGAAGAAAGACAGCCTCTTCAGTAAATGGTGCTGGCAAAATTGGTTAACTACATGTAGAAAACTAAAGCTAGATCCTTATATATCACCCTGCACCAGAATCAACTCCAAATGGATCAAAGACCTTGAACTCAAAGCAGACACTCTGAAAACATTACAGGATGGAATAGGAGAAACCCTAGGTCTCCTTGGCTCAGGCCGAAATATTTTGAATAGAGACCCGGAAACACAACAAATCAAAGAAAGGTTGGACAAATGGGATTGCATAAAGTTGCAGAGCTTCTGCAGGGCAAATGACATAGCTAGCAAGATCAATAGAAAGCCCACGGATTGGGAGAAGATCTTTACTAGCCATACAACGGACAAGGGTCTCATATCTAAAATATACTTGGAACTCAAAAAATTAAACCCCCCAACAACAAATCCTCAAAGAAACAACTGCCCAATAAATAAGTGGGCGAAAGACTTAAAGAGAAACCTCTCTGAAGAAGAAAGAAGGATGGCCAATAAAAACATGAAGAAATGTTCAACATCCCTAGCCATAAAAGAAATGCAAATCAAAACAACATTGAGATATCACCTCACCCCAGTTAGAATGGCAAAAATCAAGAACTCTAACAACAACAGATGCTGGAGGGGATGTGGACAGAAATGGAGATAAGAGTCTTACAGACTTCCCTGCTGGGGCAGCTTTGAACTGGGATCCTCAGCTCAGCCTCCTGAGTTGCTAGGATTACAGGTGTAAGCCACCAGCACCGGTAATCTCATGATTTTTAAATGAACATTTTAACAAAATGTCCACAAATGCATCTGGTTTAAACTATTATTCAATACCCATAAACCTTAAGTTGGCAGAACCTCAATGAAGGGCTACTTGATAACATTTTTATCTCTCTCCATTGAGCCAGCAATTCCAGACCTATAGATGTCAAGTACATGTAAACTGACCTGTGTATAAGGTAATTCATGCAGCATTATTTATATTAACAAAAAAGTAGAGGCAGTCTTTATGTCCATCAACAAGAGGCTATTTCAAGTATGATATGTCCTTAAAAAGGGACACCATGCAGCCATAAAACAGAATGAGGGTGCTCCATGTGTGCTGTTATGAAATTAAGTATAAGAAAAACTGATGAGACAGTGGATTACATGCAGTGACTGTAATACACCACTGCAGGTTTCTGTATGTATGTGTGTGTTACACATACACACACACACATACACACACACACAGAGCACAGAAACCTTGTTGACTGATGGGGAGCAAGAAAGGGCAATGCTTTTCCATGTTCCCACTTTTTGCTATCTATGTAATGTTTGAGCCGCATGAATGTATTATCCACCAAAAACCATATTTAAATCAAGCCAGGACTAAAAGGTAATCTTCCTCATTTCCAAATCTCAACCAGGGACTGGAAATGTGGCTTAGTGGTAGAGTACTTGCCTAGAATTCATGAAGGCCTGGGTTCAATTCCTCAGTACCACATAAACAGAAAAAGCCAGAAGTTGGAAAAACAAAAGAGGAGGTAATAATGCTCAATAGGAAATGTACTCATTATCTTACTCATGCTCTACTACTTGAGCCACAGAGCTACTTCTGGCTTTTTCTGAGAAGTTTATTGGAGATAAGAGTCTCATGGACCCGGATCCTCAGATCTAAGAATCCTGAGTAGCTAGGATTACAGGTATAAGCCACCGGTGCCTGGCTAGATAGTTTTATTTAACCTAGGTAGTTATTATCATGTTATGAGTGATAATACAAGTTAGCTGTGTTGTCAGGGTCACAGCCACTGCCAAAAAATAATCTCTCTGATATCTTATGTGGAGCAGAGCTTCTGGTAATTTACAAATAAAGAACAGTTCAGATTCATAAAGAGTAAGGTAAAAGCTAAAAATAAATCCCAGG